CAGAGACACCGAGAGAGAGACAGAGAGAGACAGAGACAGAGAGACAGAGAGAGACAGAGACACAGAGAGAGACAGAGACAGACAGAGAGACAGAGACAGTGACAGAGAGAGAGATTAGAGAAGGGCAGGGCAGACAAAAGGCTTAGACTCCATGATGAGGAGTTGAGTTTTCTTCAACATAACATGGGAAATGATTGCAACAGAGTAAGCAAGAAACATGGCTTTCTGCATGTCTTTTAAAAGTCTGGTTGATTTGTAGAGATTAGACTACAGAAAGGCAAGACTTAAAGCAAGAAACAAATTAGGAGGCTTTATGAAAGTAGTTCAGAAAAGAGATGGAAGTGGCTTAGCCAAGGGGTGGCAGTGGCCATGAAGTGATGTGGACAGATTCAGGACATCTCTTTATGTCAGATTTCCATCTTTGTGAGGATTACTTCAGATAGGCAGCTCATTGACAGTATATCTATTCTGACTCATGGCTTCAGAGGCTTTATTCCATGTCACTTGGTCCCATCACTTTGAGCCTGTGGTGAGGGGAAACATCAAGGCAGAAGCTTGTGGAAGAGGAAAGCTGCACCCCTCATGGAGCCCAGGAGGCAAAGCAGCAGCAAATCCTTACATACCCTTCCAGAACGTACCGATGATGCCCCATTTCCTCCCACCTGGCCCCACTTCCTGAAGTCTCCACTACCTCTCCAGAGCACCACCAGCTGGAGATCTAGCATCCAACATGTGAGCTTTCAGAGGACTTTTGAGATCCAAGCTAACAAGCTTAAAAGGAAATACAGCAGAACGGCCTGAGGTGCTGGATGTGGATGTGAGGGAGAACGAGGAACCCCATGCCTGATGTGAATGATTAGTAGTTGGCAGGGCCAGTCAATGAGACAGGGGAGTTAACTAAACAAGAAAAAGAGATACAAAGGACCATTTTGTATCTCTATATACAAAGTAGTTAGGATAGGTATACAGCTCCTTTCTCTTAACTCAATGAAAAGAAAGATTTGTACTCATAGTATTTGGACAGGATATCATGTCTGCATCTTGTGCTATGAATAACCACTAAGAAGATAACAATATGCAATGTATTAATTATTGAAACTGTCCTATTACTTGGTTTTGAAACTGTCTCATTGCTGTGTCCCAATAAAAATAATTTTAAAAGTAAAAATAAAAGTAGCACAGGAGAGTAGGCAGAGGGACAGTTTTATTAAAAGAATCAAAATTTCAATTTTATAAAGTTCATGTTGAAAAGAATGAGATTGACTAGATAATAGTCCACCCAAAAAATATCCATGTCTGATCCCCAGAACCTGTGGCTATATGATCTCACCTGACACAAAGGGAGTTTGCACGTGTGATTAAATTAGGGATTTAGAAGAGGAACAATTTTCCTGGATTAACTAGGCAGGCACAGTGTAATCCTAAAGGCCTTTATTTTGTTCCTTCTTGGGACTTTGTTATAAAAGGGGGTAAATAGATCAAAGTCAGAGAGTCAGCACTAAAGACAAAAACAGGAGTCAAAGGGAAGAGAAGATGCTACACCACCGGCTTCAAAGATAGAAGCAGGAGCCACAGCCAGTCTGCAGGACCAGCCTCTCAGAGCTGCAAAAGGAAAGAAAATAGGTTCACTCCTTCAAAAAAGAAGAAACTACTGATCATCTCAAACCAACATAGACCTGCAGTAGGAAGAGAAGTTAGCCAATCAATGAATTTCAGCCCATTGAGACTGATTTTCAACTTCTGATTACCAGCGTGGAAGACAATAAATTCTTATTATATTAAGCCAAGTAATTTGTGTCAGGAACAGCAGGAAACTAATGCGAAGACCATAGACGCCTAAGTGAAATTTCGAGAGGGCGCTGCCTAGCACTGCGGCACTGTTGTGGCTCAGAGCTTCCTGGTAGCTAGTTTAGCATACTTTCCACTGTATTCCTAGAATAAAAAGCAGCCCTTTGCTTGTGGAAACTTTCTCCCATGGATTTTTATATGAAAAGCACTGTAAAGCAGTGAACAATGACTGCCTAATTAGTCAGCTCATAATAAATAACCGAAATAAATGAAGTTGAAAAGAATAAAAGGTTTATTTTGTCTCACAGTTTCAGAGGTCCCCACCCACCGTCAGCAGCCTGCTGCCTTTCGTCCTGCGGCATCATGGCATATCACAGTGACAGTGTGTGGTGGCAGAGGCATATATTTCTAAAGCCAGTGCAAAATGATGAAGGCAGAAAAGGTCTTGGGTCCGCAAACCCCCTCCAAGGGTCCTCCCCAGCGACCTGACTGACTGCCTCCCACTAGGCCCCACCTCCTAAGGGTGACCTCCTCCGGGAGCACCACGGACTGTGGACCAAGCCTGTCACACACGGGACACATTTCAGCTCTGAACTGTAGCACGCCCCTAAGTCAGGCACACACGCAGTAAGCGGGCATCCTTCCCTTCAAGTAGTCTCACCCTCTGGGACAGGGATGGCTAACCTTTTAGAGCTTTCCGTGATAACAAACAGTCCACTGCAGCATGTATGTGATAGTTTCACCTCCACTCATCGTCCTAGGAGGAGAAAAACATGTCTAGGGATTTCCAATACCCAAGCACCCGAAAGAGAGAGGTGAAGGGAGCAATGTGTTTTGTTTGGTTTGGGTTTTTTTTTGGGGGGGGCGTGGGGGGGGGCAGAACTCAGGCCCTTGCCCTTGCCAAGGAAGCGCTTGTTCCACTGGGCCATCTCCCTGACCCCAGCAATGTGGTTTCTTAATCTACTATATACAGCGCGGCGTGCGCCTGCGCATCTGGACTCCCTGTCAAAGGCCTCCTGCGTCCAGAGGTTCTTTGGGAAGATGCCAGGATCACGGGCTTGCTAGACTCTTGAGCGAGTTAATGCTAGGAAGAATCCAAGCAGAATGTGCTGTTAGGAGGTGGGACCTGAGCAGAGAGGGCAGGTCCCTGGTTCATGACGTGGGGGTTCTGGCTCCTCCCTGGCTCCGCCCTCTCATTGCTGCTTATAGGCAGTTTCCTTGGCCCAATGTCCTTCTCCCCCAATGTCCTTCCTGCGTTAGAGCCAGCTAAGTACTGAAATTGTGAGTCTATATAATCCTCTCTGCCTTTAAATCGTGGGTGTTGGGTATTGCGTCCCAGGGACAGGAAAGTGACTAAGACATCTATTAACCAGGTTAGCACCTGAGTCTCTTCAGCCTGTGGGCCCAAGAAAAGCCTGCAGAGACCAGCGCAGCCCCTGGCCATGTAACGAACGCTACCACAGAAC